CCCCATTTTAGTATTGTGTTTCTTTGAGCGAATTGTCTTTCTAATTGAGCAGAGACAGGCTGTGACCTTTTCTGGTTTTGGCCATAATGCATATTAATGACTCCTGTGGAAAGGGGTTTCCTTACCTCCTTTGGAGTATTGGCCTCCAAGGTGAACAGAAAGGAACCTGCAGAGTTGCCATAGTGATTTCCAAGTTCATCCTTACCATCTTGTGTCTTTTTCCAGAAAGCAGTCCTTTCATGCTGTGTCGCTTAGATTAGGATTGAACCCAGGATATGTTGTAATAGTATTCAATATTCTTGAAGGAAAACTGCTGAAAAACCCTTATGTGTTCGGAATGAACGTGCCTTTTGTAAATCAACAGTCACACGAGATAAAACTTGGCCCTCTGGCACTGAAGAAGGCTGCTGTGCCTATGTTAAGCATGGTAGTATCCTTATTTGAAGGTGTTTCCTTAATTCTGTATAACATTAACATTATTTAACACATTTTTCTTTCTTCTTCTTTAGTATATAGGCACAGATTCCATTAACAGCTCATCTGAAAAATGCTTTCAGGGAGAGATGTTTCTTTATCAAGCCTGCTGCTGTGGAAGCTGAGATCTGCTATGGACATACTTTGTTTGTTAAACATCAGTCTTCTGTGTGGAAATTGAATTAGCAATTGACATAGAGTTGCTCTCCTGTTTATTGATGCTGAGAATGTGAAGTGGCTTAATGAGTAATCTGAAGTCTGCAGGCAGAGGGGTGAGATCATGTGCTTGCCTCAAGTAGGGTTTCTTTGTTCGGTGTGATTCCTTTGGGACATGCAGAATTTGGATTCTGCTGCCCCTTTGTATGTACTGTAAAATGCTGCTTGCTCTGTTTCAGACCCTCCTTCATCTTACAGCCACGCTTCCTTCCAGGACAGCTCTTATTATCTCTGTGTGATAAATTTCTAATTGGGCCTTGCTGTCTAATGAGTATGATTGATGGCACTTTCTCTTCTTTCTCACCCCCTCCTCCGTTCCCCTCTTGCTGCCTTGCAAATATGTGTGTTAGTTGTGTGACCCTGATGTCAGGGTAAATTGTCTAGTTACTCTGCTCTTTTTGCCTTCTGTCACTCTGTTTATTTGTAACAGTGACAAGTGTAAAAAAAACCTCACCTAAATTAGATTTTACCATGAAAAGTAAATATTTACTACATAAACAGTGGTGTACTCAGAATTAGGGATGGGAAGTGGAAAATGCATTTTCTTCGTAGTGCTTAGTGCTTTAGTTTAAAAGTTGCATGCATTACCTCTATTTATGGATTGAATGAAACAGTAACCAAGCCAGAAGTACAAATGAACAGAAATTTGCTAAACACACTGTATGTATGCTCAGATTATTTAAAAAAAAAAAAGATATATTTTGTAGCAAAATTTAATGAGATTATAAAATCCCATTAAAAAAGAGCTCTATGGGAAAAGCGACTCCTTGAAAAAAGGAGCAGAATGAATGTCATGTGTGTGAACTTTCCTTTTTCTCTGCAGTGGCTGAAGAGCTGGTTGTTTGAAGGGGTTTAGTGTGCTCTTGTTGAAAGTTTTGCTTTGCTGGGCTGAGAGGTCAATTGGGCAGGAAACCATTACAGAGGAAAATCTCTTAGTAGGAAAACTTTAAGGCAACCTGTAGAGAAAAGTCAAGAGAGCATTCCAAAACTAAACAGGAACGGAAGGGTTAGTAGCTGTGGCATTGGTGTAGCTTCTCAAGACCCTGCTTAATTGTGAATAATAATGGAAAATTAGAATCGAATGATAGTGATGTTTTCAATGTGTCTGTAGATAATGAAGTTTGTCAATGGCTTCATGACTTTGCTGATTAATGGGGTGAGCAGCTTAGTCCCTAGCTCAGCTCATCTATCTGACAGCACTTTGAGTTTAAATCACCAGTCAGGCTTTTAGGTCTGAAAAATATGTTTTGAGCATTGAAGGAGACCATTCTTAGGGTCTCTTTGTTTTGTTTTTGGAAAGCCATAAAGTCTCCAGAGAGATTGGGAAGGGGAAGAATAGTGTTTTTATGCTAGTAAACTGCTTTCATGCCGTTTTAGTGGGATACTTAAAGTATTTTGCTACCGGTCTTTAATGACATGTTGGTAAGCATCCTTTCCACTGACATACCAGCTTAGTCTTATGGGTTATCACTCCTGTAGATATGCAGGCACCTGGAATGGTGCCTAGGAGAGACTACTTGCAAGACCAAATGCTTATAGCCACAGGGTTTTCCTTTATGTTCCTAATGCTTGTGGTCTGGTTGTTCCCCTTTCCCACACACATAAATGCCTTACTTCAGGGAAACACCGTGAGGTTCCAAGGAAGGAACATCACCAAGCCAGTTCAGTGTGGTAAATCCAGGCAGTCTCAGCTCCGTAAAGTATCTGACTCTTTGTTGCAAAGGCCAAGCTGATCATATCAAATTAGTTTTCTCCTCTTGTGGGAGAGCATGGCTTTGGGAACAAGAGCTTTCCATTCCCTGTTAGGATTTTGGACAAGGATGGTAACTGAGGCAGGGATGAGATTGAATTTCACTGTGCTGGTCTAAGTTCCAGGTGCTTCCTGTTGCTGAAGGCCCATGGAGACCCAGATGATGGAGAGAAATGGGCAGCACAGCCATTTGCTGGGGCCTGGCTGTTCCCGTTTTGTGAGTACCTGTCAGTATTTGCAGTAATAGCTCAGGCTGAGCTGTGGCTGTGTTGCATTCCTAGCTCTGCTCTTGCAGAGCCATAGGTACGCCAATCTTGGGAGAATGTGACAAACACCTGCTGAGTTTGGTGATTATTTATATTGCTGTAGTAAGACTTCCTTAACGTTAACATCTTTTTTGTTGCGATGTCCCCAGTGGGACCCCAGATGCGGATAGGGTG